AAAAAGATAGCTGTTGAAACAGAAAATCAACATGCTTAGCACCTGTGTCCCTGCCCATGGCAGGGGGTTGGAACTGGATGATCTTAAGGTTCTTTCCCACCCAAACCATTCTGATTCTCTGGTGTTATCTTACTGCAGTCACTCCAGCTGGGGGAAACAGGCAAGACCTGGGATAGGTCTTGCCCTTCTGCCCAGAGGCAAGAATTCTTCCACATTGCTTTGCTCCCTGGGACAAACAGGACCCAGCCAGGGGGGATCTGTGCAACTAGAGATCAACCACAGCCAAATAACCAGGGACTACTGATGCTGCGGTCTCTGGCATAGTTTGCAATATTCCTCCTTCCCTTCCTTTATCCCACTCCATTATTCCTCCTTATTATACTGCACACTACAGTTGTCATCAGACACCAGCTGGAATCAAGAGCCCTTGTACAAAGTCTTGAGCATATGCACAGTATGATACAATTTCTATTTTAGCAGCTAATGGCTGAATAGGGAAGGGGGAGAAGAAAATCTCTTCAGACTGATCTAAATGCAGCAGTTTAGCTGTGAGGAAATATTTTATTTGCCCATCTTTTTTTACTCCTTTGAAAATGTGAAACACACACATCATTTAAATATTGCCTTTTTTTTTTTCCCAGCTGAAGTTATTCACTGAATTCACAGAAAGCCTCAGAGAAAGAATCTGGAAATTTCTTATTTAGAAACTAGAGTTTTGGGTGATCTATTTTCTTTTACATAGAATCATAGAGTCAGAATTGTTACGGTTACATCCCTTCTGAGCCTTCGAAAACTCCTTTATAAAAAGCTTTACTGCCTAAACAGTGTCTGTTTACACTTTCTTTACTGACTTCTCACCCAATACATGGACGTAGATATGTCTTGCAGTGTATTTATTAGCTCTTAGGGCTGAGATGGATCTCTTCAGTAGAACAGCCAATTGAAAGGCAAAGTAACTGCTCTTGGGGATGGAGTGAAGTCTGAGTCCAATTAACAAAACGCCATACCTGTCACTGGCAGTATCACAGATGAGGAAAAGGGTGGATGAGTCGAACCTACGAAGAGAGAGAAATCCTTGATTTTTGTATTGATCTGTTCTTCTGGTGAAGAGCATCAAAGCAGTGATGAGGACAGAGCCAGGCAAGAGCCAGCTCGCTCCAGCATGGAAGCAGTGAGGAGGGTAGAGAGTGACAGCTCTTCTCCCTCTGCACAGAAGATTAATAATTGCCATGTTTGTTTCTTAGCCATCAATAGATGTTTCTAGCCTGGATTTCAACATATGCACTGATCTGATATCTGTCAGTAATGGGCATGAAGTGAACTGTATCTTTCAGGGAGTGGGATCCAGCTAAGATCTTTATTCTGTATGAGGTCAGGGAGGATGACTTTCAAGGTGCCAAGCTAGGATTTGAAAACATAGCTACAAACATGACCTCTTTTTCCCTAGAATATAAGCCAAAATTCCCTGGTGCCAGAAATACGTGTTTCTCCCTTATCTATTTCATTGTATTTCTCCCTTATCCTGAAAGGAAGCTCTGAACTTGAGCTACTATGAGATATGGACAGGCTTTTTACAAGAGATCCTATAAGAGATGTCTCTTGATAACTCTCTTTGTGGTGAATCATGGGGGAGAACAGAGAAAGGGGAGGATATCCTTTATCCAGCTCCATTATAGACAACAATCACATCATAATAATGAGAAAGGCAACATTTTGGGGGTATAAATTTTTGATGCACTGATCACAAAGACCTGACCTTGCTCAGGTTTGATGTACTTTTGCAGGGAAATTGAATTCTCGTTCTGTTGAATTAAAGGGCAATTTCATCATCCAGTTTCATGTTCTTCATAAACCTCATTTTAAAACCTGAAGTATTTGCTGTTTCTGACTGTTCAATAGGTTGTGTCATTTTCTAGGACTGGAATGTTGGTGGGTTATTTCCATCATAGCAAGAATTTCTTTTATCCTGATAGTACCAAGTGAAATGATTAATGGGGAAAAAATGAGTGTGGTGACCACTCACGACCAAACAACAGATTGTGATTGCTGTACCTGGAACACTCTGAACCGGGCACCACAGGGAAACAGATGGACCTGTGAAAGAGAGAAAGTCCTGGGTTAATGCTAAAACAGTGTGTCCAGTGAGTAAGGTCATTCATTCTTACAGTCCCTCTGTTGGTTAGAAAGGCAGCCCAACTTAGGTGTGGCATCTATCCAGTACGTGTCAACAGTTCTGCAAGATTTATTTCCCCTTAAAGTCCCGAGTACTGGTGGAAAACAGCTTTTTCCACTCTCTGTTGACAGGAAAAGTCCTGTTGTACGAACCTTGCATCAGCTCCCACTTCTTTACAACTCAGCCCATCGCACTCCCCTGCCTCAGAGGAGGTTGGGAGGGTAATGAAAGGCTGAGGACCGTAGAGGTGATGGGTATCTGGGTCCTTTCGCCATCAACAGCTCTGCCTGACACCCAAAGAGAGCCCAAAACCCTCAGTGCTATCACAGATGCTTGGGAAAGGGGTTGTGTTTGCTCTCTGCATATTGAACTCCTGCATTGTAGGGGTAGGAGAGATGCCTTCAGAAAAGATAGGTAATTTGGGTGGAGTAGAGGCCATATCAAGGTCTGGTTTGGGTTTGGGGTTTTTTTTGCATTACTACATCTAAAGGCATAAAAGCAAGAGGCAGAGGTTCTGCAGCCTCGCTTGAGAGGGTCCCAGAGCAGTGAAAACTCAAGATGCCAGCCCACAATGGCATGTGTTGTGCTGAATTTGGGTCCGTAAAGACTACAGTGTGATATTGGTGGGCTTCTTGCTGTCTTTTTGTTCAGGACAGCATGCTGGGTGTTAAATTAAGAACCGAGACACTTCACTCAGGTTTAGCTACGGACTAGCTGAACTCTGGATCCCAAAGCCTTAAGCAATCGTGAAGGATGCTTAGATACACCTTTTGGAGTACTTTGCTGTGAAATGACAATAGACAACTTATAGCTGCCAGGAGGGAGGAGAAAGAGAAAGACTTATTATACTATTTTCTTCCCAGTATGCGACAGTGTGGCTCTATCTGCTCCAGATTCCTGCAGTTTTGCAGTTGGTATGAAAGGATGCCCAAGACAAAGTAGGATGCAGCTGTATCATCCCTGGAGATATCATCCTCATCAGTCAGAAATGACATCTCCATCAGTATCAGAGCTATGATGTCCTTGATTTCTCCATCCCAAACCCCAAGCAGGTTGTTACCTAGGACGGATGTGCTGAGCTGGGAGGTCTGCATGAACAGGTCATGACACCGATACGATGCCAAAGCACTCATCTTACCTGGCTCAATGGTCTGTGGCAGCCACTCTTTGCTGTCATTGGTGCATTGCAAGTCAAGGGGGGTCCAGTCGATTTTGCCATTCACCTTCTTGCACTCACGGGTGCCAGAAGTGGGAGGTTGCTTATCATACCCACTCTGGCATTTGAAATGTAATACTTGTCCCACGTAAAACTGTTTGCTCAGGCTTAAAAAGGCATGTGGAATAGTCTTGGGAGGACCACAGAAATCTGGTGGGATCACAAAGCAGCACACGGTTAAAGCAGACACATTTTACCTCCTGCTTTTGTTCTTGAAATAAATGATTGTGATCTTACAAAATATAGACAAGCAGGATATACCAAGCTTTCCTAATTCTTTATCAGGATATAGAACACTCACTTGCTTACACCATATCACTTGTTCAGCCAAGATATTATAGCAATTGTTTCTTTGTCTGCCAAAATAGAATCATAGAATAGTCAGGGTTGGAAAGGACCTTAAGATCATCTAGTTCCGACCCCCCTGCATGGGCAGGACATCACACACTGAACTATGTCACAATTACAAATTACTCATTATTCTTACACTGCTTCCATGGAAATCAGTGGGAAAAGTGTTGCTGTAATGAATGGGCCCTTACTCACCTTTCTGGGCAGACTCTGAAAGGTTTACTTGCTTCTGGGATGCAGGGCTCTTCTGTGTTTCTCTTTCTGGCTTCTGTGTAGCATCTAACTTCATTGTGGGAGCCGCTGACAACAAAACTTTCTCATCTGCGGGAGAGGTTATGTTTGCTGAATTACAGCAGGATGAAAAGCAGAGCAAAGCCAGAGCACCCAAACTTTTAGAGGCAGGATAGAGTTGTTGCAAGTTCTAATTAGCAAAGGTAAGCAACGTTTGTTAGAGCAATGCCCAGATGTCTTCCACTAACTCATTGAAAAAACACCTCTACAAGTGTAGGAAAAAGACAATCATCCCTTACCAATGCATTCAAATTCCTTGTAGACCCAAGAAGCAACCTGCTGTATACTCTGACACCGAATTCCTGAGTACTGCCCACTTCTTCTTGTGTAGCCACTGTCACATTCATAGTACAGTCTGGTCCCCAGTGGATACGCTTCAGCAGTAACATCAGCAAATTCGGTTGTTGGAAGAGTTGGGCATGCTTCTGCAAACAGAAAGCTGAGAATCAGGACAACCTGTGCATTTACCCTGTTCTACTGAGGACTTCCCACATTCGTCTGTCTTATCAATATCAGATCATGCCCAGAGCTCAGTGAACTAAGCCTAATTCTGCTCACAGCCACAGGGCTGAAATCACAGCAGAGGGATGAAACTGGATGTTGTGAATGGAATGTGAAGGTAGCAAAGCATTGTATCTTTGGTTGTCTCTAAGCCAGAGTGGCTCTGAATGTCTGGTGAAACTGTTAGTTATTTTAAGTGAACATTTTATATTTCAATTTTAGAAAAATCCCACCATCCAAAGACTCCTTCACATTGGAGTTAGTTGTTGACATTGATTTTTTAAGCGTAGATTTGTGCAAGCTGCAGAAAAACCCCTTGGGAGTGTCTCCACCAAGTAACATGAGGCTTGTATTTGTCCATACTTCTTTAGTTAAGAGGGGCTGATTCGACTCCCTTTTATTTCTTCTAAAGGAGAAAGGGTGCTGGAGCAGGGATGCTCCACAGCAATTGGGAAGTGGTGGTGGGAGGCACCAGGTCTATCCACCGGCTCCTGTGCCCACTGCATGAAGCAGGCTGTTGAGCCCTCCCTTTCTGAACCCAGCAAAAGGGCAACATGAAACACTACCAACATCTTCTTAATGAACAGTCATTGTAGGGAGGCATAATAAGCAAAACTAAGCCATTAAAACTTGCAATCATCTATAAGCAAACATCGGAGAGGGGAATAGACTCTCAGTTTAGTCTGAGCACACCAAAGAGCAGCTTACTGTGAAAGAAGTTTGCAAACCTAAATATAACTTGTCCCAAAACAAGGACGTGAAGTGCTGTGTCATGAGCAAATCACATCTAAATATACTTCTCAATCAGTTGGAATGAATTAAGTGAGATCATTTCAGCGCACTTGAAAAGCCCTCTGAAGCTGAGCTGGAGACCCAGAAGTTGATAAAGGCACTACTTAATGATTATTCAAGGCCTAGAAGCTGAAAAATTAAAAGATAAAGCAGGCTGGTTGCATTAGGGCTGGTATTCAGGATCTTTGGGTGCATGATCTGTGGCCCTTTATGCTTATGCATAATCGTAACAGCTATTAGGAGTAAAATGTCTTGGTCATCATGTTTTCACATCTTCTACAGTCATAATTAATGCAGCCTTAGCAACCAGCAAGAATGACTGCAAAAGGGCCTTGAATCCCTAATAGTTGTTCACCATTTGGCATCTGCCCTTGACTCCTAAAGTGCCTTCTCCTTGAAAGCAAGCTATGCCTTGCCGACAGCAACCCAGTCAGTGTCTCCCAGACCCAGTTGTTAAATGCCCTTTTCTTCCAGAGCCACCCGTCATTTTCTCACTTTGATATTTTCCACCCTTTCTACTTTTCATCATCTTGATGCTTAGTCAAAGTCACAAAGTTTGAAAAAGGCAACAATTGTGAGCAGCTGAACAGCCAAAGTGTGTAAGGGGTATGTTAATCCCCTTGTACCTTAGTGTTATCAAAGGATTTGCCTTGTAAACTACATCAGACGGTGGCTTCTAGAGAAGTGACTGTACCCGAAATAGTTAACCACATGGTTTACCACAGACTGTCAGGGTGATTAAAATTAAAGAGTTATCAGATTAGCAGCACATTGAGATCATCGACTCTCACTTTCCCTGAAAGCTAAAAGAATGTTTCCCTCAAGACTTCAAAAGCCTCTCTGAAGCAAACTGAAGATCTGAATCTTGGCACCAGGCACTCAAATCTCTTCTTAAGAAAACCCACAGCATTGAGTCTATTCATCATAAAGGGCAACTGTTGTCTTAACCTATGAACGGATGAAATCTGGGTTCTTCTGAACTTGCATACATCAGATAAGGATTGTGCAATAATGCACATGGGTGATGGTGAGCAATACCCATCAGGCTAGTGGATCAACTCATCCACATTGCAGCTGGACCTCACTCAACACTTCTAGGGTCCAGCCTTGTCATTTCATCCACATCACTCCAACTCTTGTCTTCCCACATCAAGTGAGACCGCAATGTCTACTTCTTTGACCTTTACAAACACATTTGGAAAGATGAATTTCCTGGGTCTCATTGTGACCTTCTGCTTGCTTCCCTCTGTTGACTTCTAACTGCTTCAATGTCACATCAAATACTTTGCTTCCATTTTCAAGAACCTTCCCCTTATCAGCCATCATAACCTTTCAAAACATTGGCTTCTCTTCCCATGCTAGACCTTCTCAACAACATTTGATACTAAAATCATCAGCTTTTGGGTTTATTATAGAATCATAGAAAAGTTTGGGTTGGAAGGAACCTTCAAAGCTCATCTAGTCCAACCCTCCTGCAATGAGCAGGGACATCTTCAACTAGACCAGATTGTCCAGACCCACATCCAGCCTGGTCGAGAACTTCAGTTAGCCCTTGTGCTTGAGGAAACTGCATGGTTTGTCCCTAAAAAATCAACATCCCTGCTGTATGGGTGATAAAAGAGCCAAGGGATGGGAAGAAGCGGGCGTCCTTGTTTCACCTGGGATAGAGTTAATTATCTCCCTAGTAGCTGGTGCAGTGCTGTGTGGTGGATTTAGTGTGAGAACAATGCTGATAACACACCGATGTTTTAGCTGTTGCTCAGTAGCAACAGTCAAGGGTTCAGTCCCATGGTCTGCCAGTGAGGAGGGGCACAAGAAGCCAGGAGGAAGCAGAGACAGGACACCTGACCCAAACTAGCCAGAGGGGTATTCCACACCACAGCACATCATGCCCAGTATAGAAACTGGGGGCAGTTGGCCAAGTGCTGCCAATCACTGCTCAGGGACAGACTGGGCATCAGTATGTGGTGAGCAAATGCATTGTGCATCACTTGCCCATCTTGGATTTTATTCCTCTCTCTCTTTCCAATTATTATTATTATTATTATTATTATTAAAATTATTTGCATTATTAAACCCACAAGTTTCACTTTTTTTCACCAGAGAGGGGAGCAAGCAAGCAGCTGCATGGTACTTATGTGCCTGCTGGGGTTAAACCACACCACCAGGGAACTAGGGGAATGGCAGTGTAGATGTTTTTACATTTTTAGGGGAGACTAACTTTGCTTTTTTTGCACCTGGTTGGGAATTTGTCAATTCATTTGAGTTGGTGACATGAAATATAAATCCTGTAAAAGGCCAGCACATCTAGGTGTAACCTGCCTCATAGATTCTCGTGGCCCAGTTCTGCGCAGCCCAGCTTCCCACTGGATTCTGCATCCCTCCACAGCTGTTGCAAGACTATACTACCTCTAGTACTGGTTTAAAAGACTGCCCTCACATCACCTTTAAATCTCTTCTCATTTCCCCTCCCAACATTCTCCAGTTCTTCATCCCCATGACAAGGTGCTGTGTGTCCCTAGTTCCTTCTCTTCCAGTCCCAATGTCCTCTGTCCTCCCTTTCCACAAGCTTCATCAGCCCCCACCTACCATTCTCATCTCCTACACCCTAAAAGTTCCCTGGGACTCCGTTTCTTTGCACTTAGAGGTACTAACACGACATATTGAAATGGGCAAACAGAGAGGTTAGTGTAATTGCATTCATGGGATTTAGCACTGCTATGGGTTGCAGAATTGTTAGACCACATAGCTCTCCTAAGGCAGCTGGGAATCCACATTTCTCCCCATATTAGCAGGGTTTTGGTGCCTACAGGATTTATGGAACTGGTTTCAAATATTATCATATAGAGGATGGAGACATGCCCTTGGAATTAGAAGGATAGTGGTGAATTCAGGTGATAGACATCTGTGAAACATAAATATTAAGAAGTAGTTATTGCATCTCCTGGTGTGCTCCCAGAATCAAGTTTGGTAAGTTTTCTGAGCAAGTCTTGTCCTCTGGGCCACAAGATAGGTGAGATTCCTGCTATTCCAGTGCTTGATGCCATTTGAGGTGTCTTAAGGCATCTGGGAAGCCACATAAACTGCCAGATATCAGATAGGAGTTACTAGAGGCTGATGCTGGGCAGAATACCCTGCCATGTGCTAAATAAAGCTTAACTGTCTCTGGCTACCCTCAGCATCTAGCTTTTGGCTGCCCTCAGCATCTAGCATCATTATGTAGGCTCAGGGGAAAGATACCCAGTAGCTAAATCACCATCAGTCCTTTCAGTGCTTGAGTTTCTTCCCTGAGGTTTCCCATTCAAATATGCTACTGACCCAACACAAAACTGCTTACAGTGGACATACTGGATTAGGATTTATGAGGCTCTCCTGCCTATTTCTCTCCCATGTCTGAGTTGGCAAAGCAGTGCTAGACAAAGCATTAGAACAACAGCTTTTGTCCAGAAGAAGTGAATGGGGAAAATGTAATGTGTAACAGGTACTTTTAGTACTAGGTAAACACAGACAGTGAGTCATGCAATGATAACCTGAACTCAGAATTTCCTCTGTCATGTGGCTGTGTGTCACCAGTGCTGACGTTATTATTCTGATGTCAAGTTAAAACATCAAGGTGCAAAAAAAGGACAATTTTCCCCTAAACACAAAGGCAGTAAGATGGGATCGGCCAGATGGAAAGTGGCTGTTCTGAAGAGCTGGGTAGAAGCAGTGGAAGAAACCAGGCACTTCACACACTTGCCCAGTCCAGAGATGAAGAGAACCTCTCCCCAGAGATACCAAGAAATCAAACCATGCCAAAAAGAAGACATCTCCCCAGATGTGCCTGAAGAGCTAATTCAGACTCTGGGGGTTCATATGCTGTCTGAAACTACGTGCTCTCCAAACAGAGCGAGCCTCTTGAAGATGAAACTGATTTGGGTGAAGAGAAGGAATTGATACCAACAACTGGACTGAAATGGTAACAAACCTTTTCTAAATTCCAACCTTATTCCCAGAGGGTCCGTTAACAAGCTAGCTACAGCTCTGCCGCCTTCTTTCCCTGCTAATGAATGTCATTTATTATCTATGTGGATTTGTGAGCTGGCGATAGATCCCAGCTGTGGGATGGGGTGCAGACCTGAAGTTTATGGTAATTTGCTGTGAGATTTTGTTTAGCTATACTGTCAATTGCACAGAGATTATCCTACAAAGTCATGCGAGTAGTAATGAGTCTGCAGTGTAAAGGACAGAAATACAGTGCAGGTGAAGTCAGTAGGCACAAGTTTTAATGCAAAAGGGGATGGACATCAGCCGTATGGGGCAGGAAATGTGTTTTAATGTTCTTAGCAGTGGAGAAGAGGCATGTTCTATTCTAAGGACTACGCCTGCTGAGTTTGCTGTGCTAGAATTTGGCTCTGTTGGAAAGACAGTGTAAAATAAACTGGAGTGTGAACCAGCAGGAGCTGTCCATTAACTCTTTGTAGGACCATAGAAGATTAGATTTGGGAGAGACGCACTGATCTCTTGGCTTACTCATGCTAACCAGCTGTTTGCCACTGACCTAGGCAGTGGAATCTAATGCAAAAATATTTCCAGATACAGGAAGGCCAGATTTGTTTTGACTGTGGACCAAGTTTTCTCACGCTAAGCTAACTTAGCCTCAGGAACTTGCTGCCTTAGCTCCTTCTGCAACAAGTGGAACCAGGCAGACCTCTCTAGAGGACAGCAGACACCTATCTTAAGCTCTCCAAAGCAATGCTTAAAGATGCTTCTCTCTTTTTATCAGCTACTGTGGTGGAAGAACACTTTTACGTGCTCACATTGATAAGTAGTGTGGTTTATCTAATGCACTATCATTTTAAAGCTCACTTTGCTGTGAGTTCCCAGCAAAGCAGCCTGCAGATGCTGTTGTGTCTTCTGCTGGCCCAGATGTTTCTTGACTATTTACCTCCCTTTTTCCTAAACACAATTATCGCCCCTTCATCACCAACTCACTCCTGTTTTAAGGCATTGGCTGAGTGGCAGCCAACAAAAAGCAGACATTTCAATTCTATGTGTAGCCACCAGAAAGACACAGGACATGACTCATGGCACCTTATCTGCAATCTAGTGGATGAACTGTGCCCTGAAAGTGCTGTGTTCTTCCCCCTGGTTATGAAGGGGATCCACATGCCCACCTCTATGGAGAAGTTGGTGCACATGACTAAAGTTAAGCAAGGTGAATCTCATGCCTGACCTGGCAAGGAGGATGGGGACTTGGACTGCAAATGTGGAACTGGAGTATTAAGAAAGAGGGAGAGTGTTTCCTAAGGCAGGGAGAGGGACAAGCACAGTGGACTGCACAGTGAAGAATGGGGAATATTTGTTTTTCTTCTTCTTTTGTTTCTGGGTGTTTATACCCTTCTTGGTTCTGTGGTAAAGCTACAGAGCTCAAACTCTTTAAAGGCAACCACTGCACATGGTATGGTAGCAGAACAGGGTCTGGTTTTGAGAACATGATACGTGAAAGCCTTGTTTTGCAGCGTGACATTTGGGTTTTGAACAGGTTTGGTTACATTTTTGCTTAAATCTGTGACTTCAGCAACACCCGCCTCTTCGGTGTTTTCATCTAACGGGAAAAACACGTTCCTGAGAAAGAAAATCTGCTTTTTAGAACAGCAGCAGAAATTCAGAGCCTTTTCTTTGACTGCAACATTCTCAGCTTTGCCTTTTGTTGCATTGGAAGGGCCATAGAGAAGACCCTCTCTGAAAATACCTGGGCTGGCTGACAAGCACATATCACGGGCTTGGGTAACAGTGAGAAAAGAACTGGTGGGACTCCTTTGATTTCAAATGTGTCTCATTTGACTTGTGGCCTTAGCATGGTCATCAAGCTTTTTGCTGGAGCTCTTATGAGTGGGCTGGAAGTTATTTGTTAGTGTTGCTGATTTTTCTGACCTTGTAATGCAAGGGGCTGTATATTCTTTATCTTTACAAATGGAGAGCATAAAGAAAAAGCAGCAGATGACAGAGTGCTGCTACCCTGGCAGGGCTGAGGAACAGGTTGTGTTCCTTGTTTTTCCTTTCTTTTTTTTGTTGTTCCATGTGTTTCTTCCATGAAGAAAGTCATGGAAGCACTATGGAAGTGTGAGACTTGGAGAAGCATTGGAGGAGATGGAGCAAAACCGCGCTAAGCCAGGTTGTTCCAAGATTCAGGACCAGGGTGAGGAGATGGAAACCATGGGTGGAAACCATCCAAAAGCTGCGCTTTGGAGATGCAATTAATGCAGTGGGAAAAACAGGAGAGACAAAGCTGACCAGGTTAGATATAAGGAAGAAGTTCTTTACTGTGAGGGTGGTGAGACACTAGCACAGGGTGCCCAGAGAAGCAGATACTGCAGGATCTCTGTTCATAACATCTGCTTTTCCTCAGCAGGATCACTCAGTTGTTTTTTAACAACTTCTTTTTAATTGTAGCTGTATACTGGGCACTTCGCTGCTGAAGGCCACAGTAGCTGGAAGGTTTATAAAGGTATTTGCTCTCTGGGTGACCTTAGGAGAAACACTTGTATGTGTTTGACAACTTTAATTTATTCCCCATTGCATTTCAAATTCACGGGAGCGAGCGCTAATATGCAAGTATAATGGGGAAGAAATTCCTCTCATTTAAATGACTGAGATGTGGTACCCATCTTGTGTGAATGAAATTCAGCTGAATGAAATTCTTTCTTTTGTGAGATTTAATCCTTTCCAGGTTTAACTTGCAAATCTATTCAGTGTATTCCTGTAAGATGAATAGCAAGATGGAAAGGTCGGAGGAGCACAGACCAGCTTTTATCTTGTATTTGACCCTCACCTAGCATACTTGAAGCCTCACTCATGCCTGCAGCTTCTAGGCACTGCTGCTGTGCAGAGTAAGTGAGATAAATGTGATGCTCTTTCTGAGCAAATCAGCATTTCTCTTATACTCTTTAGTATTAAGGTGTAGTTTAATTTATACTAAATAATCATCCCATGCCTTAGTTTCCATGGATATATATCAGAAGACTTTTCCCTCTCAAAGCACATCAAGATCCAACAATGAAACTGTTCCTTAAAACAAAGGCTTTTTATTTTCTATTTCCCCTAATTATATTTATACCTGATAGTGCATTTTGCCAGAAACCCTCTTCCAAACAGCCTCTAGAGCAGGATCTATTTGCAAAACTGAACTTGCAGAGCTGAAAAGGCCAAGGCAAAATAATACAAATAGCACTGTGTGTACTGAGGCATAGTTGATTTTTGACCAGTTTGACCTA